CTGTGGCTCAAGTGGTAGAGTGCTAGCCTTGAGCTGAAGAGCTGAGGGACAGCGCCCAGGCCCAGAGTTCAGGCCCCACGACCGGAACCCTCCCCCCCCCAAAAAAAGAACTCCAGAAAATGGAAACAAGAGGTTTTTCCTTTGTTCTTTTCTTTTTTCTTCTTTGTTAGTTTATCTGCCTTTGGAAGGATTGGGGGGGCACAGAAAGGGAGGGGCAAAGGGTAAATAAATGCAGCAATGGTATTCACTGGACATTATGTTAAAAATGAACTACACAACTTATTATGGGGATGAGAGGGAAAATTGGAGAAAGCAGGGAAGAGGTGACACTGTCCAAAAGAAATGTACCTATTACCTGACTTATATAACTATAACTCTACTGTGCATCACCTTTATAATTACAATAAAAAAGATTCACAAAAAAATTAAAAAATTAAATAACTTTGTCCCAAAACAAATGAAAGAAAATATATATTAGACTCAAATTCCACATATCCTATCTGAATGAAAAATTCATAGGACAAAAGGAGCTCTCCCTGCCCCTAAGGAAATCTCTCATAAACTCACCAATCTTCTCATAGCGGCCAGCTCTCACTTAATGAAAGATAGGCTCTTACTTAGGCTCCCACCCTCTGGCTGAAAGCAGTTCTGCCCTCCCAACCCTTCCTGAAACATCTTCCAGTTCCTGTCTGACATTCCATTAGACATGCTGTGATCTTGGCTCTGGATCATCATCAAGTCTGTTATACTAGCTCTCTCTGTCCATATATTATCTATAATATCAATAATATAGCTTTTCTTCCTGTAAATGCTACAAGACCTAATGGGTTGACTTAAATTTCTTTTTCAAACGTGCAGGTACAAGATTGGAATTTAATAGTTTGGTAAAAACAAAAGTTATTATTTTTAAGTGACAGTTGAATTTGAAGTACCTGTTTCAGAAAGGATTCCAGGGCTGAATGTGCAGCTTTTTTCAGTTCTACATTTAGATGGCTGCACCACTTTGACAGTACTTCAAATAAAGTAACATAGTTGTCCAGAAGGCAGGTGCTAAACTGAGAGGCATGCAACGTAAATAAACGTAGGCCAGCTGCAAATAAAAAGAAACATCAAGAACTCAGAAACCTTCAGGTGTCAAACTATAGTCACAACGAAGAGGATAAATGCAGATGAACAGGGTCAATGCATTTTATTTGCATGTATGAAACTAGAACAATGAAATCTATTCAAATTGTTTTAAAAAGAGGCAGGGGTAAAAAAGGGAAAGTGATTTGGGGATTGATAGAGTACATTTTCCTTATATGCATGTATAGAAATAAATGAAACCCTCTTGTACGAATAATTTATGACAATTCTTTTAAACTATGTTGATACATGTTAGCACATTAGTACTAATATAGTACATTTCCCTACAATAAGGGATTTGAACACTGGTCAATGAACCCCTCCCCCCATAAGAGTCAGAAACAGTCAGGATTTATTATATCAATGCAGAATCAAACAACCTGACTCCCCAGAGGCAGAGATTGTATATTAAAAACTAACTCCCCTTAAGCCTCTTCCTGTTCACTTTTATTGACAGTTCAAACAAAAACTTAAGATAATGTAGTAACCTAAGATATTGTATCTTATTAAATACAGAATCTTACCTAAGGGTACTGCATATCTCTTCAGATCAACCTATTTTTTAAAAAGTTCACAATTAGTGTATTAAAAAAAATCACACATGTCACATTGAAAACAAACTTTACAACTCTGTGGGGGGGAGGGGGAGTGGAGAGGGGAAGGAAGAAGTGAGGAGGTGGGACGAAAGGGATGGTAGGGGAAAAATAAGGAGGGGGAAACAATGCTCGATAGGAAATGGACTCATTGTCTTGCTCATGTAATTGTAACTCCTCTGTCAGTATCTTTACAATAAAAAATATATTAAGAAAAATAAAAAATCACAAGTGTCAAAAGAATTTGAATATATTAATCCTACCTGAGGACGAATTGCTTTTAGGGCAAAATCAAAAATCTCTTTTGAAGTCTGAGGATCTGGTGAAATAACAGAAAAAGCTTCTGTTATAAATCCTAAGACTCCAAAGTCTCATCTGTCACACCTTATCAAGGACTTTTCAAGTAACAGCCTTACTTCAGATAAGCTGACAGCTGTCATCTGAGTATCCTGTCAATTCAGAATAACCTCTCCCATCATTGCACCCAGATGGAATTACTCCTGCAATTATTATTGTGAAAAAGTAGAAAGAAAATCCAAAATAATGTAGATGTGTTTAAATTCTCACTCATTACTTAAAATCTGTTAGATAATCTCTGGGAAACTCAGTTTTCTTATTTTTCCAGATAGCACTGGGGTTTCAACTCAGACCTCCTGCTCAACCACTTAAGCCACACCTCCAGCCTTTTTTGCTGTGCTTTAGCTATTTTTCAAATGGTACCTCACATTTTTGCCTACGGCCAGTCTCAGATGAAAATCTTCCTACCTATGCCACCCTCATAGCAGGGAATCTACATACATACCACTAAGTCCAACTTGTTTTGTTAAGATAAAATCTGGATAAAGTTACCTCTTAAGTAGTTGGAATTACAGTTGTACACCACCATTCCTTGCCCCAATTCGTACTTTTAGGACTATCTGGTGGATTAAATGAAATAACCCATTCAAGGCCAAACAGACCCTGCCCCCAATTCTCTCATATTCATTCAATGATCAGAATTACTAATGGGAATAAAACATGACCTTTGACCTGAGTAAAACTATGAGTTAAATGGGAAAACAGAAAGGGCACACTGGACTGATATCATATCTACTGTATCATTCAGTGAAGCTGTATAGAAGCCATGATTTATTCCTCATTGACTTCTCTGCCCTCCCAAGCAGTCACTTGCACACAGAAGAAAATGTCTTGCCCTGATGACAAGGACTAACATATCTGAAGACAGCACATAAATAGGAGCTAGAGGAAGAACATGGTCACAAAAACCTTAAGGAGGAAAAAAAAATTACTCATTTTGCCAGTGGCTCACGCCTGTAATCCTAGCTACTCAAGAGGCTGAGATCTGAGGATCGTGGTTCAAAACCAGCCTGGGCAAAAAAGTCCATGAGACTCTTGTCTCCAATAAAAGCCACTAGAAAACTGGAAGTGGCGCTGTGGCTCAAGCAGCAGAGCACTCGCCTTGAGCTGAAGAGTGCAGAGACAGCGCCCAAGCCCAGAGTTCAAGCCCACGACCAACCCCCCCAAAAAAAAATTACTCAAAAAAAAAAACAAACACCTACTTTGGAATTCAAAGCAAGAATAGACTTTTTGTTGTGTCATTCATGAAAGATTTAATAGATATGGTGGCATTTGAACTGAGACTGATACAGATATTAGTTGTGAAAAAGGTCATTCACATAGAAAGTAACAGTGCAAGTTGGGCGCTGGTGGCTCATGCCTGTAATCCTAGCTACTCAGGAGGCTGAGATCTGAGGATCTCGGTTCAAAGCCAGCCCGGGCAGGAGAGACCGTGAGACTCCTATCTCCAATAAACCACCAGAAAACCGGAAGTGGCACTGTAGCTCAAGTGGTAGAGGGCTTGCCTTGAGCTGAAGAGCTGAGGGACAGCACCCAGGCCCAGAGGTCAAGCCCCACGACCGACAAAAAAAAAAGAAAAAGAAAAAGAAAGTAACAGTGCAAACAGCAGACACAAGGGCACCAAATACTCCTCAGAGTAAAGGGAGAACACATAGGAGGCTTGAGCTACTCATGGGATAGGCTACCTTGGCCTTGAGCTACCAACAAGGCTGTATCCCCTGAACTCCTCACCTCTCTAGTAGACCCTACACCAGCACACTCTTATTTTTCTCAATGTAAGAAAATCTACATATTAATCACTTTAACAATGTGTAAGGGTACAACCCAGAGGCATTAAACAGTTTCACACTGTTGTTATAGGCATCATCATCTATACACAAAAGTTTTTCATCACTCCCCACCCACTACAAAAAAAAAAAAAAAAAGGATGTACCAACTACACAATTCCCCATTCCCTTCCCTAGTACCTGGAAAAATCTATTCTACTTTCTGCCTCTATGGATTTCCTGGTACATGTAATCATGCAGTATTTGTTCTTTGGACACTGGCTTATTTCATTTGGCATGTCATCAATATACATGTCTACACTGTTCATTAAAATGTACTTCCTAGTTGGACACTGGTGATTCATGCCTATAATCCTAGCTACTCAGGAGGCTGAGATCTGAGATTGTGATTTGAAGCCAGCTTTTAAGTCTGAATAATATTCCATTGTGTGGATGTAGCAAGAACCCAACAGACTGCGAAGTAGAGTGGGGAATCAGGCCACTGAAGAATTGAAAGAAAAGACAGAGAAAGAAAAATCACTCAGAGTTACTTCAGTGTTCTTGCTTGATAAGAAACAATAATGAAGGGCTGACCAGAAATACTATGCACAAAATTACTCTTTTGAAAATCAAAGATGACTGGATATGACTCAAGACAGAGCACCAGCCAGGAGCAAAAAGATCAAGCAAAGAATGCAAAAGCCCTGAAGTCAAGCCACAGTACTACTACCAAAAACAAACAAACAAAAAACAGAAAGAAAGACTATTAGATTATCAAATGGGCACTAAAGTTCATGCATGTAATCTCAGCTACATACACGTTTAATGCAATGCCTATCAAATTAGCAGAAAAGGATTTTTATAGACATATTCTAAAATTTATGACAGAAATGCAAAAATCTATAAAAATCAAAATTATTTACAAAAAAGGAATGAGAGGATGCACCCAACTCAAGATAAAAGTTTACCATGTAGCTACAATCAAAACCACACTATTAGCTGTGCACCAATGGCTTACACCTGTAATCCTGTCTATTCGGGAAACTGAGAGGTGAGGATCACAATTTGAAGCCAGCTTAGGAAGTCCATGAGACGCTTACCTCCAAGAAAATACTCAGAAAAAGCCGGAGGCTGGGAAGGTGGCTCAGTGGTAGAGTGCTTGCCTTGCATACATGAGGCCCTGGACTTGATTCCTTAGCACCACATAAACAGAAAAAGCCGGAAGTGGCACTGTAGCTCAAGTGGTAGAGCGCTCACCTTGAGCTGAAGAGCTGAGGGACAGAGCCCAGGCCCAGAGTTCAAGCCCCATGACCAAAAAAAAAAAGATATACTTAGAGGAAAACTCCAATGGTGTATCTCTTTTGAACAGAAAATGAAGTTTGTAACAAAGTAAATACCAAGAAGCTGAAACATGTTAGGAGGGAACAAGAGTGAGGGGCATGCACAAATAGACAAAGGGTGAGCAAATATAGCAATTATATTCAATTTGCACATCATATAAGAATTTAACTTCATAACTTGAGGGTAGAGATAGGGAAAGATGGGAAAGAAGAATAGGGGGGTAACATTGATGAAGATTCATTGTACTTAACAATCTGACTTCTGGAACTGAATCCCTTTTGTACACTATTTAATCATTTTTTTAAGTTTAAAAATAAAAATATAGGGCTGGGAATGTGACTTAGTGGTAGAGTGCTTACCTAGCATGCATGAAGTCCTAGGTTCAATTCCTCAGTACCATATAAACAGAAAAAGCCAGAAGTGGCACTGTGGCTCAAGTAGTAGAGTGGTAGCCTTGAGCAAAAGAGCTCAGGACATTGTCCAAGCCCTGAGTTCAAGTTCCAGGACTGGCAAAACACACACACACACACACACACACACACACACATATGCATAGTGACCACTTTCTGTATATGCTACATTTTAGAACTACTCAGGAAATAAAAAGCAAGCAAGAGCTGAAAAAAATAGTATTGCATCATGTTAAAAAGCTTCTTCACATCAAAGGAAACAACAGAATGAAAAGACAATCCAAGTGGGCTGGGAAGGTAGCTCAATAGTAGAGTGCTTGCCTTGCATGCATGAGGCCCTGGGTTCGATTCCTCAGCACCACATAAGCAAAAAGAAAAAAGCCGGAAGTGGTGCTGTGGCTT